CTTCCGATCCCAATATACTTTGTTTTGACTCTTGGAATTCTTTAAGGTTACCTATGAGTGAGGCAGCGCCCATTACATGTGTGGTTCCAGTTCAGTCAAAGCGAGAGTCCGTCAAGTCATTAGCTCCCTACGGCCATTGAACCCCTTATCTCCCAGTCCAGATAGTTCTTCCCCCCCCCTCCGCTTTGAAAAGAACGTAAACCATGGCTCAATAAGACTGCAGCGAAAACTGTTGCTTAGGAGAAATCGCGTAGAAATTCTACCCATAATGAAATGAAGGGGAGTGAGTAGCGTATTCCAAAAAGAACTATGTACTCAACGCCTTATACATTCCGCGCTTTTCCCGAGAGAGGTGGAACGCAAATAGGAGAAGAGGCACTAGCAGTACGTCTGGAACTATGCTGACGTCGAGAACGAATAATAAGTAGTAGTAAGTTATGACAAAGTAGAATAATTTCTCTGAAGACGCCGCAGAGAAGAGACGCAGTTGCACGAGACAAAACTGTGCACCAAACAGTGGAGGGAGTAGAGTCCTTCAGTTTAGTCACGCGAAACTCATCGCTGTTCTGCGCGACTCTTTTCGAGAACGAATGTAACACAGCCCAGAATGACCAACCTTTCTTTCGCTTCCTGTGGCGCTGTAAAATGTTCCATTTGAACTGGATCGTTTGGCGAATTCGACCTCCCATTTTGCCGTAAAATAGATGGCGTTGACAATGAGTGAGGAAGCACCTACAAGAAACACTCATCACACTTCAAACGTGGATCCCCAAACACAGTCTTCAGGAACGAAGTGATCGCATCACCACATGATAGGTGGGATTAAGTGATAACCTCCAATAAGAGCTGATGAGGATCATTATAGTGAATGCGCCGAGAAGTTATAACAAGGTCGCAGCGATAGAGGAATTTCAGTTCCAAAGAGGGAGTAGGTTGGCGACGCTGGTTCCAAGAAATGATATGGGAGACGGCTGGAATGTCGTTGGTGGTTGGCAGAAACGGTAACAACTGATAAGAGCTGATAAAGGGCGTTGGAAGGAAAGCTGCAGAATTGACTGCCTACAGGTGGTATGAGGCGAAGGGTTCAGGGCTGGTCGATGCGAACGATGCCTTGAACAACCCTTTCCTCAGGAGGGGCAACCACATACCTTGAACACTTTGTTCATTGACCATGTTCCGAATTTTTCCTTCAGTTGTTTTACTTATGAAGTCGTCAATAACCTGAAGGTAACAGTCAGTACAGAGGTCAAGGGCGAGCAATAGAGAATAAGAATTCACTTTGGAGCAATTAAATGAAAACAACCTTAGCCGAGTGCTTTGCTTCGGCAAAATCCAGAGCTTCCACTTTGGCGTGAAGATTTTTTTGAATATCGTGCTCATATTTCTTCTCTATTTTGAACTGTTTGCTAAAAATTTTGGATCATTCTAGTTTTTCAAAGTGCGAAATGAGTTTTCAAAAAGTGCACTCACTCTAGGAAAAAACCATTTGCTATTCGGCTTTTCACACCCCCTTTCGCGTTCATGATCTGG